TGACACTCTGCGTTCGACACCCCTTGCACGCTTGTATGAGTTGTCGAAGTTATTGCGGATGTGATAGTCACAGATGTACCGACTTCTTCAGTTGGTCTTGCGATTTGTTTAGCCGGGTAGATCCCCGCAGCCGCAGTAGTCATCTCGGTCGCCAGGGTCATGTGCTGAATTTGGGCCACTGACGACTGAGTTTCCATGATAATTCCTGCCAACAGCAAGAAATCAAGACGCAGCCGCAGTAGTCATCTCGGTCGCCAGGGTCGTGTGCTGAATTTGGGCCACTGACGACTGAGTTTCCATGATAATTCCTGCCAACAGTAAGAAATCAAGACCCTCGAGAACGTCAGATATCCCAACAATAGTAGTTGTATCAGTCTTAACGACTGGTCCTACAAGAATGACTCCCTTAAGGCTAAGTAAAACTGATAAGGGAATGACCCTCACATAAGGACGAAATCCATACCTGCAGAGGAACCAGCCTCGACGATTGGTTCAACAAGCTCGGGGACTGGTTCAATAACCTCAATAACGGGTTCAACCGTTTCAAAGACCGGCTCAACGGCGTCGATGACCGGTTCGGCAGTTTCGACAACTGGTTCAATGGCGTCGCGGCGAGATTGTTCTGATAACATGTCGTCAAGTAGTCTGTCACTAGAGCCCGAGAGGTCTTGCAAAGGATCAGACGGAAGTGCACCGGTTGCATGATGAGAAGTTTCTTTATCACTCGGGCCTTCCATTGGAACATCTGAAGAAAATTCTAAGTATCAAGACATGGAAAGAGAGGTTGAAAATCAGCATTGAAATAAAGAAGCTCACCTCCAGGGATGATAGCATGCTCTTCAATCCCAACGCCAACAATCGCATCCTGTAGTTTTTCTAAAAGAGCCAGAAGCATGTAAGCAATTAGAGGAGGAACGAGCTCTGAGTCGTTTAATACCCGAGATTGCCATCTAAAAGGTGTACTACCAGTAATGGGAGTACCTGGACTAGCAACCACCGTCGACGAATCAGTTCCAACACCCGTCAAAGCCTGGCCCACGGCCTCATCCGCTTGTGGCATAAGGCATGACTCCCCAAAAAAGCCAATATCGGGAGAGGGGGGGTCGCACATCATCATGTCTTCGTTATGACCCCCTGGGACATAGAATTTACTAAGTTTGAGGCTTGGTAAAAAAATGAGAATGATTGAAATATTACCTTCTCCACCAACGGGTGTATCGCCGATCGCCTCCGTTTGAGAAGTCTGAAGTTTAGTGGGGCGCTTGATGGTTAACTTTAACCTTTTCGTGGGCCGGGTCTCTTGGAGATCCACAGGTCTATCTTGTATGGATATGGCAGGTGGCTCAACTTGCGATCCCGCTTGAGCTATGGTCCGAGATCGGGCACGGGTAACGAGGCCACCTCCCTCTTCCTCCTCGGAATCTACATTTGAAAGTTCAACAATCATCCTATTGTAAGTAGGCAAAATTCTCCATTTTTTACGAACTTTAAGTCGACGAGCTCGATCAGCAATCGACAAGTCCCATAGTTCTTTACAAAAAGATTCAGACAAACCTGCCGCGTCTTCCTCAAAGCCACTGTTGACTTCCATAGCAGCATCGGCAGCAAATTCATCTTCTTCGGAAGTTTCCTCCTCAGAAGCAAATGATTCTTCTTCTATTTCCCTTATTTTCTGTTTACCTTTGCTTGAGGGACCGGCGGGCTTCTTTTCGCGCTTCCTTCGTTCCAATACATCTTCTCGGACTATCCTCGCAGCCCGAATTGACGGGCGAACCGGCACGGCAAATAGGGCTCCAAATAGCAGCGCTCCTTTACTCGGAAAAGGAGATGGCCTGGCCTTATGTTCATAAGCCATCTGAAACAGCCGACATCGAGAGAGGTCCGGTCAGTACCGGGTGCTTCTACATCAGCAAGCATCCCGCTATATCTACCAGGAAATCGAGGAAGACATGGGTTGATTACCCAACCCTTGTGCATGTGCAAACTCTTCCTGATATCTGAGAAGGTTCGAGTTGGCCATCTACACTCCTCGTATAGTTGTAACAAAGGAGTGGACAGATCTGCACTTTTAGGAGGTGATATCAAATCGGGGCGATGAAGAACTAGCCACCCCATCAAATAGGTATAGGGGAGTTTTGTCTTCGGTTCTCCCATAAGCAAGCTGCACAGCGGGAAACAATACCTCAATCGGCAAGGCATCTGAAGTTTGATATGGCACCACACATTTCTTCAACCAAAGTGCAATATACCCAGCCAACAAGGTCTTAGGATGGATGGATTTCTCCGCCTGCAATAAGAAGGTCCTGAACTTGGTTCCTGCACAAAATCGATCTTGGGCACTTGCGATAGTATAAGAGCGGGCGTCGCATTTTTTAATTAACCTGTCAATCTCCGAACGGGCCAGCGGTCCCAGTTCACGAATAGCTTCACCAGTTCTCTCCAAGTTCTTAAACAAGTAGCAAGAGAATTGCTTTAAGCTTATTTGAGGAGATTTCTTCCTCGCAACAGGGTTAGCGCCAGCTAAAGCAATTTGATAATGACACGTGAGTTCCCATAAGGTGTCATAACGGTCAGGCTTATGAGTCTTCAATTTTTGTAGCTCCTGATTGGAGGGAAAATATTCCTGATACGGTATATCTCCCAACTGAAGTCCAGAGACTTTGTGCATTTCGTGAAAGGGTAATCCCAATTCTCCGTTCCGTGTCACAGGATTATACAGTTCTATCAACCCCTGGAAGTGAAGAACGTTCACCGGTAACCCGTACTGAGTGGCTCGAATGGCTTCATAAAATCTTATAGACTTTAACTCAGCGCCCCAGCGGTGGAGGACATAAGCTGTCATCCGACCCCACCATGCTTTGTCTGAAGAGTGAGACCAACCAAAGCATCGATATTGGTCGATGGGCAGTTCACGTCCTAGTTCAGCAAGACGATTCCTCACAGTGCGAGCTATTATAGGCACCTCCCATTTAGGCGGGTCCTCCAATCCCATCACGCCCGGGTGTAACCCTGTAATGTGCCTTCTGCTACGAGAACCCGGAAGTGAGTGACTGGTGGTATACCCGCAAGGGATACTGGTATGTTCCTCTGTTAAGGTCCACGGCATCTGTCGCGTCACCGCTTGCCCGCGCAATTCTGTTAGTGAACGGTGACGGGGGAATGGAGGGAGATATAAGCAAGTTATGCCGTCACTGTGTAGCCACCGCTCATCCACAAGCTTTATGACATCGGGATCTGTCACAGAATCGCCGAACAGGTAATGGGTCTTCCTTAAAGGATGATCAGGATCTGTATCTTCAGCAAACGGCGCGTCAGTAATTAATTGACGCGTGATACGACGACTTCCCTCCCGTATCGACTGGCAGAATTCATCCGGGAGGTCCGAGGCGAATTGAGAAGTGCGCAGGATTGACATCGGATTATCAACGGCAGTATAATAGCTACTCCTATGGCCATCTATCTCATATTGAGAAAACGGCGTTGCAGGATATTCAACTGAAACAAGTAACACGTGTTTATCAAACGCAGTTATGAAGAAATATTTAGGTGACACAGGGGGTAGAACTCTTTTCACCAAATAAAGATTGACATCGGATTATCAACGGCAGTATAATAGCTACTCCTATGGCCATCTATCTCGTATTGAGAAAACGGCGTTGCAGGGTATTCAACTGAAACAAGTAACGCGTGTTTATCAAACGTAGTTATGAAGAAACATTTAGGCGACACAGGGGGTCGAACTCTTTTTACTAAATGGAGTCGCCGTCTTGTAATTGGCGAGACGATTTTAGCGGTATTACGAATTTACAAGATAACGTACATCTTCACATAAATGACGCGGTGATGTACCCTATCTTAAGGAACGTAATACGGTAGAAAATCGCCCCATATGGCCTTGAGACGCGTTTTGACCAAGCAAAACGTATCCGGTAAGCATCCACCCCCACAAAGGAGGGTATCAACTCTTCCCAACTGCCTCACCAAGGAGGGCAGGGCGGGGATGTAATATAGAAGCATCCACCCCTACAAAGGAGGGTATCAACTCTTCCCAACTGCCTCACCAAGGAGGACAGGGCGGGGATGTAATATAGAAGCATCCACCCCCACAAAGGAGGGTATCAACTCTTCCCAACTGCCTCACCAAGGAGGACAGGGCGGGGATGCGATATGCAGCATGATATAAGAATTTGGAATTCATGAACAGAAAATTACAGAGGCTTACCAGTAAAAGACAAGTGCTCCCTCTCAGGTGACTGAGTGGCTGAGCGACTCCTCGGGAGGCGTGATCTCCTCGTCGACATAACTAATCTGCAATGAAGACCAACAGCTTGGTCAGATCGAGAACCAAGATACATAAATCAGAGACTGAAAGGGAAATTGTGAATCTTTAATTGAAATTCTACAAAATGGAATTTTCCAATTAAGGGTCCAGTTAAACCTATACGACATCCTCAGCTCAGGTTAAAGGTCATAAAGACCAACCAAAGAACTCGGTCATGTATAAGTTCGAATTCAAGGCATATAAGGTTCTTGAGTCATATACAAGTTGGGTTCAAGGCATATACAAGATTGAATTCAAAGCATGCAAAAATTCTCGGCCAATAATTAAATTCAAGTGCAAGTCATCAACCAAAAGCTCAACAAAGGGTTCGGTCACGCATGAGTTCAATCATATACAAATTCAGTCATATTCACAAGCTCAATCATATACAAGAATTCAGTTATGCACGAATTCAATCATATATACAAAGTTGGGTTAAGTACAAGTTTGAGTTCAAGTCAAGTCTCGTCCTCACACATGTACAAACTCAAGGCGTATAAGGTTCTCAACCACATGCAAGTTTGGATTCGAGGCATACATAAAGTCAAAATCGAGAGTCAAGGCCTCGTTCAAACGAAGGAATTCGGTTGTATGCAAAGTCAATTCTTGGCCACATACAAGTACGAATTCGAGTCATTCGACTACAAGCCAAGTTCAGAAGCGAATCGTTCAACCACATACGAGTTCGGATTCAAGTCATGCACAAATTCAATTATATACAAGAGCTCGGCTATATATAAGTTCAAATTCGAATCATATACAAGAGCACCAACTCAAGAAATCAGTATCACCACAGATTTCAGCCATCAATAAAACCCCAAAATTCGGTTTTCCCTAAGATTGAATGGTTGAGAGACTGCAGTTTTCAGGTTACGAACACAATTAACAAGGAATTTCGGTTATATACAATAAAGGGTTCAAACAACAAAACTTTCGGCCAATGTTAACCAAGCTCAACTAAATTCGACCATGAGCAGAATCAACAAAGAATTCAGTCGGCCAACATCAACCAAAGCCAAGAATTCGGCCATGAACAGTAACTTTTGGCCATGGACAGTGGAAATTTCGGCCAACAAAGAGTTCCAACCAACAACTTCAGTTATTTACACAAATTCAAAGAATCAAAACTCAACAAAAATCGGCCACATTCAAAGCTCAAGTTCAAAATTCGGTTTTTTGCCCAAATCCAAGAACTAGGGTTTCAAACATTGAATGAAAGCATGAGGAACTAACCAAAATCAAAGCAAGAGAATAGGAAGAAGACTTACCCAAGTTCTTGAAGCTTAAAAGGGGAAGAAGAGCTCAAATCGACGAAACCCTAGGTTCGAATCTCCCCTCTGTGATCAAATCCGAATTGGAAGAAGAGGATGGAGTTGAGGAATTTAAAGGAGGGGAACTTTGATCTTGATAGGAACTCTTGAGTTAGAGGAATTCTTGAGGAAGAGGAGCTCTCAAGAGACCGGACCTTGAAGAAGAAAACCGAACAGGAGCTGGAACGGAAAGAAAAAGGAGGAAAAAGAAGATAAAATGGGGATTTCTCACCCCTTTACCAGCTCCCGACCCGCGTTCCGCGGGTCGGACCTGTGTCCGACCCGCGCGATCGTGGGTCGGATTAATCCGACCCGCGCGATCGACCCGCGATCACGCGGGTCGGATCCATCCGACCCGCGTGAACGCGGGTCAGACCCAGTTCAAGGCCCGTTTTTGCCACATTTTCGTCCATTTTCGTCCGTTTTCGAAATTTTCGAAGCTTAACCTCATCTCCCGGACAATTTCACGGTGTTTTTGCTCATATTTGGAATGTTCAGAGTTCGACTTCATTTCCCGGATAATTGAGCGGCATTTTCAGTCAGATTTGGAATTTTCGGAGTTCAATTCCGCCTCCCAAATAATTGCGAGATATTTTCATTTATTTTCAGAATATTCGGGACCCAATTTTATATTTTGGGCGATTTCGTGATTTTTCACCTATTTCGGAATATTCGGGACCCAATTTTATATTTTGGGCGATTTCGCGATATTTTCGCCTTTTATCGGAATACTCGATATCCAAACTCCAACGGGTACATGAGTCTAAACTGCTCCCCATTTTGACAGGAAGTTCCTAGAGAATATTACAGATGATAATTCTTAAGCACGTCAAATCATCTCGTGCGCGCCGGTCAATGCGCGCACGTCAAATCATCTCGTGCGCGCCGGTCAATGCGCGCACGTCAAATCATCTCGTGCGCGCCGGTCAATGCGCGCACGTCAAATCATCTCGTGCGCGCCGGTCAATGCGCGCACGTCAAATCATCTCGTGCGCGCCGGTCAATGCGCGCACGTCAAATCATCTCGTGCGCGCCGGTCAACGCGCGCACGTCAAATCATTTCGTGCGCGTCGGTCAACGCGCGCACGTCAACCAACTCGTGCGCGCCAGTCAACGAGTGCACGTCAAATCACCTCGTGCGCGCCAGTCAACGCGTGCACGTCAATCAGCCCGCGGGGATCGATCAGCACGCGTATGTTAACCAACGCGCGTTCGACGATCGGTCTCGCGACGAAGCATACAAGTCGACAAATCGAACGAATACGCAACAAGAACATCCCGGAAGAAAGAAACCAAAAAAAAAGGGAGAAAGTCGGCGAACCCGCGCTAAGCGCAGGACGGAATGATCCGACCCGCGCAAGCGCGGGTCGGATCAATCCGACCCGCGCAAGCGCGGGTCGGATGATTCCGACCCGCGCGAGCGCGGGTCAGATTATTCCGACCCGCGCGAGCGCGGGTCGGATGTTTCCGACCCGCGCAAGCGCGGGTCGGATTATTCCGACCCGCGCGAGCGCGGGTCGGATGTTTCCGACCCGCGCAAGCGCGGGTCGGATTATTCCGACCCGCGCGAGCGCGGGTCAGATTGTTCTGCCGCGCAGTCTAATGTCCCAAACACGTTTTGACGGTTTTTAATTGGTTTTTTTGCAGGGTTTATCGGTTCCAGGGGTTCTTAACTGACTTGAGATCATCCTCAAACGTGGTTAGGCTGCTGTTGACTAAAGATAGAGCCAAATCCCTTGTTCTTATCCAAATAACCGCATTTTGAGGCCTATAAATATGAACCAAAGGCCTCCATTTTCTGGATCTGGAATTTTATCAAGAGGACGAGGTGCTGCTGGATTGGAGAGTGAAGGAGCACGAAATTTCAGCAAAGGACAGCGAGATCCCGGCGAACTTCGGAGCAAAGGAGAAGCCGTTCGAAGGATCCGAAGCCCGTACGTCCGTTCCTTGAGATTAGGCTTTGTCTTAATCTCGAGAAGAGCCCTGATATCGCTTTGTCGATTCCAGGACTTCAAGCAAATACCCCCTTGGTGAGGTAGAAGCTCTGCCCAATTTTTCATCAACCGGATCTGATTCGTGGTCGTCCACGGATTAACCTCGGCACCGGCGAAGAACCCACGCAAGCAAGAGCCGATAAACGGATCTTGCGTTTATTTTCAAGAAAGTTGTAATCTTTTTCTTTTGTTATTTGAATTCATTTGTAACGTTTAAAGTTTAATGAAATCAATGACTAAGGTGACTTTCGACGGAAACATGTATCTTAATATTTTTTTTTCCATGAAAAAACTATTTGTAATGCAATAATTGAATCCTAACTAATAAAGTAAAAACTCTTGAACTAAAGGAGGGAAAGCCTACTTTGCTAGCCAGGACAGACAGGGCAGGCAACTCCATTTACAATACAAACTAACATAAAAACGGAAAAATTCAAAAAAGGTATGTACCTTCCGCACAAATTGTACCCTTTTCGAACAAAAATAGATAGGAGATTTTTGATAGAGTGAGAGTAAATTTCTTATAAATTTTATAGTATATAAATGAATGGAACTATTGCTATTTTATGACATCTCCCCGTCTAAAGCCATAAATTATGCATTAAATATGAATTTTAGTGAGAAAATGAACCTATAATTAATGGATTCATGTATATTCTCTTACTGACTAATCAAATTCTCTTTATTAGTTATGCACTAATAATTTCACGACTTGTCTACTTTCATAAACATTCTACTTAGACAAGAATTGCATAAAATTATACTATATATGGATGCTCAAATGCACAAAAGAAAACACTAAAATAGTCAAATAAAAAAATGAAGGAAGTGAGAATTTTGACAATAGAGTCAATCCCTCAATTATAGTAACCAGGATACCTTGTAGTTAATAAGATTTCACATGCGATAATTAAGAGAGAAAATTGTATTACTCCTTTTTTGGGGGAAACGAACAAATTTGCAATCGGTTCAC